AAATACCTTTGGTCTCTGCTCTTCCTTTACATGAAGAGACAAAGTTATCTATGACCATAAACATCGGTGGATTCAGGTTTCCTGGAGTTCTGGGCCATAGTGGTTTTGCCACCTTTGGGCTCTTAGCAATAAAATGTATAATGTGGAATCTGAAGAAAACTTATTTTGGGTAATTTCTTCATAACTGCAAGTATGAAGCTATATCTGTGCCTACCTCTTTCATCTGAATATGTAGATAAAATGTTAGTTGAGCACATTAAACTTAATATTTATTTGTTTTTATCACTATTAAACAGAAAAATTCACTTTCAATTTATGTCTACTAACTTGCATTTTAAAAATCACATTAAATGTTCCAAGGCCAGTCCTTATGAGACAGTAACTCTGAAGTCTTAGAATATTCAAAGCAGCTTCCACCAAGATAGCTGAATAGCGAAGGAGTCATGACATATGTGTAATCAATAGCTTTTGTGAGTTCTGATTCAATACCAAGGATAGCTAAAGGGCTGAAAAAATTTTCAGTTATTAATGTAGGCAGTTCTTTCGTTGTCTGTGCATAGAAAAAAATCTTCCAGTAGAACAGTTGAAAGCTGGTGTATAGGAAGATCCTGAGCTCAGTGTCGACATATGGTTAAACTTCTTTTAATCTTTTGCTTGGATCATAACACTTATCTCAGAAATGCTCAAATGTAGTGTGGGGTTTTACCTTTGTTGTTTGTCATTACTCCGATGACAACCCACTTTTTCGGAACAGTTTGTTGGTCCTGAAAAGGACCGTGGTTGCTGAGATGTTTGATCGGTGAGGTAGCGCAGCATGCGCCCGTAGGGAGAGAGGTTAGTTGCAGTGGTTTGCTTGGCCACAGCGTGGCCGTTGCTGGAGGTTGCTTGATCGCCGTGCGGCAGCTGATTTGAAGTTGCGTGGTTGCACAGTGCAGTCGCAGGAGTGATGAGGCAGTGGCTATGCCAGATGCCCAGTGGGTTGGACAGGGTCACGACCACTGGCGAGTCCAGGCGAGGTGCCCCAGTGCGTCGGATGTGAGAGCCGGAGGGCCGAGGCAGTCGTGCCTGGCGCAGCCTGCCGATGCCTCCGAAGACCGAGCGCTGGCGACGAAGCCTGCTGGCTGATGTTGCTTGAATGTGGCTTGATCGTAGACTGAAGTCAGACTGATGCTGCCGGTTTGCGGCTTCTCCTTTTTATACACTGCTCGATGGGCAGAGCAAAACTTGGAACTGAGGAGGAAGAATTTGCAGGGCGCTGATTGGCTAGCGCGCGTGATGATGTAGATGCAGGGCTAGCAGCGAGCACAGTATAAATGAAAACGTTTGGAGCAATTTGATTGGTTAGCGCGCGTGATGGTGAAAAGTGATATGAAGAGTGTGCGTTGCAGAAAATGCGTGATAATGTGGCATGTGCCCACAGTAGTTTTCTCCAGACTCAGAAAAAGTCCATGGAAAAGAAGACACTCATTAACAAATGCTTCTGCAAAGTAACCCTTGTGTAATTCCTCTAGTCATAACTATATAAAGCCTCTCACTAACTCCCATTAAAAATCTCAAAGATTTAGTGACTTATCACCATAGGAGGCAACATTAATTTCCTCCACTACACTCTGCTTGTTCTACATTCATGTTATTAGCATTCATAGCCAGTATCCTGTTGTGTTATAATATGCAACTTCTTTATTAAAACCGTCACAACACAGCTGATATCAAGATCAGTGCCTAGTTTCAGCTCTGCTACAAAGTATTGTCCATTCTGTAGGGAATATAAACAATGAATGAGTCGTTGTTTACATTCCTGACAGAACGGACAATACTTTGTAAGACGAGGCACCGACTAAATAATTAACATTAATATTACTGCATCTACATCACGAGCCTAAATAACATTTTTTATATACACACTAAATATAGAATACTCCAATATTATATTTAAGCATCCTGTTACACTCTATACGATATGTGATATAAATTCCGTCCTAAGTGTAACAATTTATTGTAGGTCTTTCGTTTTGCCTTCTTCTACACTACATGTTTCAGCCGCAAACGGCCATCATCAGGTGTATACACTCACGTAGCTGTTACACTGCACCCAGTTTAAAATTTAAAAAACACACAGGTCTTCCCAATTGGCTAACAGGATCTACTTTGCTATATTTGTCTGATTCATACATCATCTTTGTCACCCATACACGTCAATTTTGACATTCATGAACTGGCACTTTTAAAATCTTCAGTTCCGATTTAGAAAACTCCTTTAAAATTTATATCTGGTGTTAAATTCTCGGCCTGTTTGCCCAATGTATTTCAATGGACAATCTACACATTTCATTTGGTATATGCCACTTTTATTGTATTTATCTAATTGTGGTTTTTGTTTGAACATATTTTCTATTGTGTTTCGTGTGCGGAATGCTACTTTTATCTGTGTGTCTTTGAAAAGTTTTGTGATTTTTCTTACTTCTTTTGTACTATATGTAAATATGGCCCACTTTGTTTTTTGTTGTTGTTCGTCGTCATGTGTGTTTGAAAACAAAAATCAACATGTACTTAGTTTTCTGTCTTTACCTCTAGACCAACCTCCTTACTTGCATCAGTTAGAACCTCTGTACTTTTTAATGGTATTTATGTTGTCTCCCAATGCATTTCCATTGTCAGTATAAATGTGAAGCTGATGTGGCCGATTCAGTTTCAGTCCCACTTGGTTTCCTTGGACCTTCCAAATGGTATATTATATGCAAAGTTGAAAAGCAGTGGTGACAAAGCATCTCCTTGTCTTAGACAATTTTGTATAGAAACATACCAGACAAATATTTACCTATGTGTACTTTACTATAAGTTTCATTTAAGCACATTTTAATAAGCATAAATAGTTTCATGGGTACTCCAAGCTCAGTATGAATATTGTACAGTACTTCCCTCCAAACTGAATCATGGGCGTGTTTGAGTCTATGAATAGCTGATATACTGTCTCATTGTATTCTCATTTATTCTCCCTTATCTGACAAATGCAAAAAATCTGATCAGTAGTTTATCTGCTGTGATGAAACCCACACTGATAATTGCCAATAAGTCAATCTATGTATGAATTTAACCTTGAGAGAACGATACTGGACAAAATTCTGAATGAAGCTCATAACAGTGATATTTCTCAATAATTAGCAGTTAGTTTTATTGCCTTTCTTGTAAACCAGTGCAATAATAGACTCCTTCCACTCCTAAGGCAATTTCTTCCTATTCTAATCAGAATTAACAAGTTTATGGGTCTTAGAACTTAATGTTTCACCCCCTGCTTGAATCAATTCTGCTGGAATTTGATCAGTACCTGGCAATTTATACCACTTCAACTTTTCAGTAGTAATTTCAACCTTAAAATGTCTTCGCTCAAGTACTAACGGCCAAGTTGTATGTATTTCCATCTACTTAACATTACTAAACCTACCTACATTTGATTGCTGAGAGAAGTAATCCTTCCACCTACTCAAACTGTTGGGGGAATCTGCCAGCAGATCATCATTCTTATCCTTTATCAAGTGAGTTCTAGGTTGGTAACCTTTCTGAAGTTCAGTTATTCCCCTATGCACATCTGTAATATTCTTGTTCTTACTGTGTGTTGCAAGCTCATTGATTTTGTCTTTCAGACATTATCTCATCTTATTCCTGAAACATCCACTAGCTTCATGTCTTACATTTTTCAGATTATCCTCATTTGTTTGGCTGAGGTCCCCTAACAATTGCAACTCAGTTTTCTTTTTTTCCTTTTATATGATAGCTCTGAACATCCTTTCCTGAGCTATGGCTTATGCTGCTCCAATTCATAATAACGTAGACTCCCTTTGGTTGAAATTTTTATATCCTATCTAATAGTTCTTCAAGGTCTACTGATATGCACATCGACATCTAAGTTTTTCAAAGCTGCAGACCTATTTGAGATTTTAACCTGATACTGTTCTTTGCCCTCTACCTTGTTCATTTTCTTAAGATGGAACCTCTCCATATCAAATTTTTGTGTTGTTCATTTGGTTGCTGCCAGTCTGTCCCTAACTTTTGCCACCACCAGATAATCATCAGTATCAGTCTGCTCCCTGAAAGATTGGACGTCAAGTACACTTTAATGCTATCTCTTATATATAAAAATGTTATGAATGTTATGATGTGGGAATACTGTACCACTGACAATTATATTTTTGGATGTGGCAAAGAGTGTTATTTTAAACCCATTATCATTCCTAATTTCATGTAAACTCTGGTTCCAAATTGTTGGATCGAAGCTATCTTCTTCACTCATTTAGCATTGGAATCTCAAATAAAATGTTCATGTGATTAGTTCCTCGTAAAAACTGTCTTCTGTATCTACAGATTTATCCTTTATTAGGGCATAAACATTCCAAGGAGTGATATCATACCAGTGATCTCGTAATATCAGATAACATGTATAACTATTTTTTGTTCTTCTATTGTTTTCTCTGTCAACATTTCCTTCTGAATATTTCACTTAAAAAATAAATAAGTAAATTTTTCCACCTCTTTAATCACTATGTTAACTTTTATTGTGCTATTTGTGTGTGGATTTCTTAACATACTCAGTCACCATATTGTCCATACTCATTTTCTGTCCATGTTCTTTTAGAAACTTTATGAAATGTATTCTTAATACTCACCTGGTTTCAATACCATTGTCACCACATTGCAGTTTGTAGTTTCAATATCTGTAGTTATTGTTTCATTTCATGTTTCTTATATGAACAGTGGGTTGAACTTCTAAGCATAGAAAAGTGACCTCCTCACCATACAATACAAGTTTAATTTAACATACATGCATATTCTGTTTAGTTTTCAGCAGTATTCTTAGAACAAAATATCAAATGCAATAAGTAGCAGGCAAAGTTTCTTTATTTAAAAGTGACAGATGTGATCCTTTAAACTGGAAAGAGAGTTACTGATATCCACTTTCAGCAACACAGTCCGTACTATTACTATATTTGTTTCTATATTTGCAGGTGAAAGTATTAAGATTCATTAGTCCGTTGAAATTGGATGATGTGATATTAGGCCAATATACTGGTGATCCAGTAGGAGAAGGCGATGCTAAGTTTGGATACTTGGATGATCTTACTGTCCCTGAAGGTTCTTGCACTGCAACATATGCACTTGCCGTACTGAAAATAAATAATGAGCGTTGGGACGGTGTTCCATTTATTTTACGCTGCGGCAAAGGTACGTCAAGATGTGGAAACATTTTTATAACATTATTCATATTAAACTGATATAAAATTTCTCAAATCCCAAACTTCTTTCAGTGTGGTGCTCTGAACTATCAAACAAGTAGAAGTTGAGAAGTTTAGCCAACCAATAGCAGTGATGCTATACTTTAAACTACATTTCCACATTTCCCATACTTGTGTACAAGAATTATCCAGTGAAACACCTACTGCTGATATTGATATAATAATTTCAGGGGATGTATGCTCCATGACGCTAAACTGAAGAGTCATATCACAACTTTATTTCACTGAAAAATTTCTGCTTCATATGTCACTTGTGGGTCTAAGTACAGGCTCTGTTGAAGAGAATGCTGGTATTTCAAACATCTGTAATTCAGGAACGCAAACAGATATGACAATATTGGTATTTGCAGTGTAATCAGAAATGCTTTCATTGGCATAAGCTGCATGCGCATTGCAACTGCAGTTAACAGACAGCAGCTCTGACTACATGTTCTGTGCAGTCAGTACATTGTCTACTGTACAGCAGGAAGCACCAACCATGTTTTGGTATGCAAATTTGAATCCATTACTTGAGTTTGTGAATGTAATTGTGAGCAAGGTGTAAAACCACCTGATGACAAGAGCATTACAAGGTGGTATGAGCAATTAGAGAGACTTGCAATGTGGGAAGAAGACATTCTACCTGGCATGTCAATAGGCATAAATGTGTCAGGGATGGTCAGCCTCCCACAGAATGTTTAGCACCTGAATGGACTAGTACTAAAATAATGTGTGGTGCCTGCCAGCACATGAAAGAGTCATCAGCCTGTTTTTCTTTGATGGGGACATCACTATAAGCAATTAATTCCTAGACATGGTGGAAAATTATATTCTTCCACAGCTCAGTGACAATGACGATGGAAACAGGTCCAGTTTCCAAAATGTAATGTTCTAATTTTTTTTTTTAAATACAAGACAATGGATAAAATTCAAAAGCCCAGTAATTCTGAGTGTTACACTACTTCCATATTTCTGTATCCTATCTGATGGAAGTTCTATTATGCCACTAATGAAGGTGTCCCTTTTCTTCATACTGCCTTACTCATTGCTGGCATCTCCACTGTAGGGCTTCACTCTGTAAGTGAATAGATATACTACCACAGTCAATAATTCCGTGGAATGGCCGCAAAGCGTCATACAGGAATTTACTGCCAATATGTTTCAGCAATGTTTTTGACAGCTATATCAACGTTGGCAGACTTGCATAGCGGCCAGCAGCAACTATTTTGAGGGCCGATGTGGACCTGCATAAGTGTTGAATTGAATTGAATTTATTTACATTCTATAAATCCTAAGTAGGTTAGTACCTTTGGATACAGAACAAGTCAAAAGGTGAATACCTTGTAATATGATGCGATAAAACCACATTCCAAGAACTTAATGACTCTGTCGCATAGAATCTACCAAAAAGAATGCTGGGATTTCAGGCACTTGTAGCTTAGGAATGAAAACATGTATCAGGGTGTTACTTGCAGTACTGTATTCATCAATTAAAACTTTTTTTACACATAAATTGAAAAGATTTAAGATGTGAAATACTTCACAATTGGCAGCATCTGCAGCTCTGTATGCATCCCACCTATAGTCTGCCTCTTGTCAGATGCGCTATAGCATGTCCTTTATAATGTCTGCAATGGCCGAAGTGGTCCATGGTTTGAGTTCATCCAGCATATTCACCCTCTGGCCATACATCTTGTCTTTTGCATAGCCCCAGAGAAGGAAGTTCCAAGTTGTGTGATTAGGAGACTGAAGGGGCATACAACTGGTCCTCCTCTTCCTATTCATCGACATGGGAAATTTATGTTCAGTCACAGAAAATGTAAGCAAACTGGACAGGTGCACCATCCAGTTGAAGAGTAAGACTGTCATTGAGCTACAGAAGAGCATAATTTTCCTCCATCTCTAGGAATTAATTGCTTATAGTGATGTCTCATCAAAGCAAAACAGGCTGATAACTCTTTGATGTGACAGAATGCACATGTTCTCTTGAAGACTATTCTGTTCGTGTCGGAGGACAGAAACAGATTGAGTTTCTGAAACATGGTGTTCTGTAGTTTTTCGGAATACCAGACAATGGACAAAGTCCAAAAACCCAGCAATACTGAGAAATATTGAATTCTGTCGATAATAGTAATGTCACAGTTTTAATAACAAACAAGTGTAGAATAAATTCAGTTATAATACCTCAAAATGTGTTATCATATTTTAGGGTAGTTCCAAAACTAATTAATTACAGGTTAATCTAATTTGTGTACTTAAGCCAATGCATAATTGATTTTTCAGCTCTGAATGAAAGAAAAGCAGAAGTGCGAATTCAGTATCGTGATGTGCCTGGTGATATTTTTGGTGGAAAACTGAAAAGGAATGAGCTGGTGATTAGAGTTCAGCCAGGAGAGGCAGTATATATCAAAATGATGACAAAAACTCCTGGTATGACTTTTGATATGGAAGAAACTGAACTTGATCTTACATACGGTAGCAGATACAAGGTAAAGAATTTTACAATAAAGTTTATAGATTGTGTAGTCAAATTTTAGATTTCTCTGCATGTAAATTAACACTTTGCGTACTGCGCACCCTTTAAAAGGTTTTTCGCTTTTAAACATGGTGGACTGTTTGCGTGTTAACAGGCTTTTAGAACACGATAAGTTGCAACACACTATACATCGCTCTGGCACCACCTACATTGCACGCAACCACCTGCAGATGCAAGATAAGACTCTGGAATGTTTAGTTAGCAGTCAGTAACTTGACCTTGTTGTTTACTTAACCGACTATAAAGGAAAATGCTTTGCCTTCTTCAAGCTGTGTGTATCAGCCAGTAGCTAGTGGGGAGAATGGATCAAGGACAAATTCTCCTCCGATGACCTAGCTGACCTGCCTTGTGAGACGTGTAGTAATGGATTAATGTCATTCAGACAGCGACAGTGACGGGGGACAACAAAGATTTGTGGCCACAGACAGTAAAAGTGACAGTAGCTCTGACAATAATGTGGGTAATAACATTGCGCGTAGTAACATTGCGGGGACAGCAAAAAATCTAAAAAAAAAAAAAAAAATCTAAACCCTCATTCAAAATTGAAATACAAAGCATTTCTGATGAATGTGGCAAAGGCCTGGGCTACAGTCCAGATGGTGGCGGCAGAAGCAGGGTCACACAAAAACTTAGTACGACTGGGCCCATCAACTCCCACCCCACAAAGGCCTCATGTGGACCCCCCAGGGCGACTCTTGAGTGATATGCGGAAAAATACCCTCGTGAAAATTGTGAAGAGTGAACATTCCAAGAGGAAGAATACTTCTAGGCAATGCCGTGTTTGCACAGTTCACAAAAAAAGGAGTATGTCTACATTTGCAAGTTCTGTGTAATGCCACTTCACAAAGGGGAAAGTTTCCAAAATATCACACCCTCAAGCACTTCTAGGAGCATTGGTAAGTGTTCTCCAAAAATTTTAGTTCAAAAAATTAATTAGGAGATTTTATATTAATTTTTAAAGTGAACAGTGCACAATAAATATTTAAATCACCGATCCGTGAAGTGTTAAGAGTATAAGAAACTAGCTCCAGAGTACAGTATACTAAAAGAAAAAGAATTAATTTTAGTGCCTTTTATAGTTTTTAACTCTTACATTCTAACAAATGTAGGTCACCGCCATCCTAATGCGTGTCCTCTGAGAGATCTAGTATTATTTATAGTTCAGATTTTCCTCTAGCGATACGAGTATTATTATGAAGAAAATGGAATTTCTCACCTCATTTGCAAAAATCTATTTCTTAACAATAATGGATACCAGTAAGTACTTATGTGTACATCATATTAGTTAAATGTATGTGTAATAAATTAATTGTACTTATAATTGCCGGGGCATGCGATAGCATAGTTGGTTGAGGCACTATGCTACAAGCCAGAAGGTCACGGGATCAAATCCGGATGAGGTCATTGGATTTCTTTCAATTTATCTAATCCTTCCAGCCACAGTATGGCCCTGGGGTAGATTCAGCCTCTAACAGAAATGAGTACCAGGAATATTCTTGGGGGTAAAGGGTGGCCAGCACATAGAGCTGACAATCTTACCACCATCTATGAGCTGACTGTCTAGAAAATGTGAGAACCTCAACATCTCACAACCCTATGGGCTCCCACGACCTGTTACAGGAATACCTTTACTTACTTTTTTTACTTTTACTTGTAATTGCCATAAAAAATTCTTTTCAGGAAGTGAAGATGCCAGATGCATATGAACGACTGATACTGGATGTTTTCTGTGGCTCTCAGATGCACTTTGTTCGCTCCGATGAGCTGTCTGAAGCGTGGAGAATTTTTACTCCACTGCTACATCAAATTGAGTCTGAGAAAGTTAAACCTCTTCCATACAAGTTAGTAAATAAATAAATGTTTATAATCAACGGTATATTCTTAGGTGGAAACAAATTATATTTCACTGTTAGTAGCATGTTATTTTACCTGTTTTTTATTTGAGTATGAAGTTTGTTCTCTCTTCCTAAGAGAATCATATATATTGAGGGTGTTTCAAATGGTGTTGAGGGGAACATTCAGACCCAGGAGAGGGAAGCAACAGTAGGATGGAGAGTACTGCGTAATGAGGAACTTCATATTTTGTATGTCTCACCAGGTTTTATATGAGTGAGGCAAGAGGAATGGGACATGGATGGTGTGAACACTGTACCAAATTTTAGTCAGAAGACCACAAGGAATAATAACATTATATGAATCATACACATAGACAGGAGAATAATACTAAAACACATCTGAAGAAACTGGATGTGTGGACAGGATTTAATTGCCTCAGGATAATATTTGATCGTTCGCTCTTCTGAATGTGACAATGAAAAAGTTGTGTAATTTCATGAGCAGAGAATATTTCTTGTGGCTCTTTAGCCTTTTCTTTATGTTCAAGAACATCTTTCAGTAGATCCAGTGCATTTAATGTTACTTGAACACTTCATACAAATAATAGGGACCTCTTAACCCATGCAAGATAAGTCATGTTTTTCATTAATTAACTAAATTCTTGCATCTGGCTCCTTTTTGTAAAGCTGATATTCCCTCATCTTGACGTTTCCTGGAATTTAATGGAATATAAAGGTTCATCACCATGTTCACAACAGCCCACCACTAGACCCTATCATATCCATGGCATCACATTGTATTAATGTAAAATCCACTTAAGTCCTATTCTTCATTAGATCAAATAATTTTAGATCCTCACTCCATGACTTATTTTTATATTTTGTATTCATGATATGAATCCATATTAACCATTTCCATGCCATGAGTTGATTCGATAAGTACAGCATACAAATCTGCTACAGCTGAAGAGACTGGCATAATGGTAATCACTTAGTACAGAATTTCTGTCAATAGATCATATATCATTTATTATCATTCAGCAGTCCATACGATGGGGTACCCAAAAGAAACCGAACTAATTTTTTTGTGGGCAGAGCTTTTGTAGTACCGCATTTTGCTGATATGAGCGCATAGAGCTAACATTCCTGAGTCGATAAGCCGACTACCGTTGCTTCAGAAGGTAAGGACTAGTTTTGGCAGAGTTTATAGTGACGACTGTTTTGTGTGATCGTCGTTTTTGCAATGGGTGATTTTCATGAACAGTGTGCGGCAGTGAAATTCTGCTTTTTGCTTGGGAAAAGTGGAACAGAAACTCTTGAAATGTTAAAAACGGCATACAAGGATGATGCTATGGGGAAAACTCAAGTGTTTGAGTGGTTTTCCCGTTTCAAAAATGGTGAAATGTCAATTGATGACAAACCTCGTTCTGGTCGTCCTTCCACGGCCCGAACACATGAAAATGTTGAAAAAATTCGTGAAATCATCAAGGAAGATCGACGACGGACCATTGAAGAAATTGTGGAGCTGTCGGGAGTGACTTGGAGCTCAGTTCAGCGAATTTTGACAGNCAGAGTTTGTTCCGCAGGGTCAGACAGTTAACCAGGCTTTCTACTTGGAAGTTTTGAAAAGATTGCGCAACAGTTTGCTGCAGAAGCGGCCAGATTTGTGGCAGTCAGGTGACTGGTTTTTCCATCATGACAATGCCCTGTTCACACAGCCCTGTTTGTACGACAATTCTTGACCAAAAATGGTATGACCCCTGTTCCTCACCCTCCATACTCACCCGACCTTGCCC